TGGTTTCCGGTGTTTTTTGAGCCATTTTCATGGCTTTAGGAGTCATTTTTGCATCGTTTTCAGGCTGTTTTTTGGCCATTTTATGAGCCATTTTCAGGCTGTTTTCGGGCTGAAAACAGTTTGGAAAATGGCTAGCTGGTCTTTGGGTTTCCGGTGCTCTGGCATGCATGAAGACCAGCTGGCCGCATTGGACACACAGGGCCGAAAAGGTTCACCATCACTGACCAATAGAGTTCTTCCCAAAGACCAAGATAGGGAAATATTTTGTTAAAGATATTGTGGCAAGATATAAATTGTTCTGAGTAAAATAGGCTTTTGCAATTGGACTGATGGTAATTCTATTAATGCTGATAGTATTTGAGTGGTACTCCAAACTCTTATGGGTTGCACACACTGCACCTATCACTGCTGATACTATTGTTGAATTGTTATTATTCCCTGCTCATAACAATATGAAGTCACAGCTGTAAGTTCTTTAGCTGGTCTTCATGCACATGGAGTTTTTTAAGGACCTAGGATGTCAACCTAGAACATGTGCAGATATGAGCAGTGTGGCCTTTTCCAATTGAGAGATGAAATTTTGTCAAGGCACTGATTTTCTAAGTGCCTTCCAAGATTTTTTATATTGTCAGCCAGTGCACTAAGAACCAGTGGGATCTTTCAGTTTTGACTTTCAATCCTCATACTTTGTTATTATCTACAATTCTTTGTCTTCTATTCTACTATCCCTGATATTGCCACATCAATTTCTTTTTTTCAACCACAGTTATATCTGGGGTGTTAGGAGCCAATAATTAACAGTTTGTATTCAGAAATCCCAACATATTTTAGCCTGCTCCTTTTCAACTACTTTGTCAACTCTACGTTGCCAGCAATTTTTCATTACTGGTACATGATAGTTTTTACAGATGTTCCAGTGAATCATTTTGGTGACTGTGTTGTATTCTTGTTATATAATCAGTTTGTGCGATCTTGCACAAACTGAGCATATTATTTACACTTATTATTATTAAACAAATTTATATAGCCTCTCACCTCACACACAGATGACTCTGGATGGCTTATAACATTAAAATCCACAACAAAAAAAACCATATCACAATATAAAAACAACACATACAAATCACAACATAAATAGCACTACATACATCCTGAGAAGCAACTATATGACTTCTTGTCACTATAGAGGTGATTGGGTTTAGCTACAAATTTAAAAGAGTTAATTGCCACTTTCACTTAATTATTACAAAAGTGAAAAGCAATTAAAGCCTCAAATTAATGAGATTTTTCTTAAGGAAAGACAGAAACTCAAATATTAGTTCCTAAGGTCCCAAACACGCTTTTGCATTTTCTTTACTATCAAGCTCTGAAAAAATCCTTTCCGTATTCAATAGAAAATATTTAGCGATCATAATACAATATTAAATATGTGCATCTGCAAATCTATACTCTGAATAGATACATGTGAAAAGATAATGAAGGAATGAAACCAGCTCTTCAGATCTTAAAAAAGGAATTTAAATATTGAGCAGAGCTATCAATGAAATATTTCTATATGGTTGAAGAATGGAATACTCCTAAATGGTCATTTCAGAATCAATTCAATTCAAACTAAAAGCAGGACGCAACTGGTTGATTTGGTTCCTGACTATCTGATAGGAGAACTCAGAGTTCTCCTAGGTGCTGCTTGGAGTGTCCAAGCATGGGTTAACTTCAGCTTGCTGCCCGAGGACTGGGTTTAACATATTTTTTGAAGCTCCGCCTCCTGCTCTCCTGAGAGGTTTAGTTTCAAAAAACTCAGTCGCCCTACAGGACGCATTTTGGGGAGATCCAGCCTTTCTGCAGCAAGCTGGTTCCCCTAGTCAGTGTAGTGTAGCTCCTAGAATTTTGCTTATACTGTGGTTAGCAGGATTAGTGCTCCTGTATACTCAATAAATAACACCTCCGTACGA